CCACTTGGCACGGGTTTTGTGCCCATTATTGTTTTGTGTCTTTGCTTTTTTACATTGGGCACCATAGATGCCTCTATGGAATGGGAACTATTTCAGCCTTTTGGTGGTCAAATAGACACAAAATTCCCAATTGTGCCCTTTATTTTGTACCCAAAGCTCATTTTTCTTGTAGTGCCTAAGCATTTGGATCAAAGGAAGAGCCCCCTACTGCCATAAGAAAGTTCCTGGAAAAATTGCTAAAATTTGACTAGCAACTTAGTATCCATGGCCATAGAGTGCCCGAATAAAGCGACGGCAATCGTTGATCCGAAAGTAGGAAAACGAGCATCCATGGAAGATTCCAAGGTAGCTAGAAGCTCATTCATGGTAGCGGTTTGAGAGTTGTTCGGGGAGCGTGGTATACAAAAGGGAGACCAGAATTGAGCTCCACTTGTTTTTGTAATATTTTATTTTATTTAAAATGACCGATGGCCAAAATCACACCCAAAGTGTGGACATATACAGCCCATACATCATTTGCTAATTGGCAACCAAAAAAACTTAACTAATTACTTCACTTAACAAAACCCCCAATTAACTAATTAGTCCTTCATTATGATTAAGCTAATCACAGATCATAACATGGCTGAGTTTTGGTTTGAATGGAATGATCAGCTATGCTAGCACTTGTGATAACACCGTCGCAGGTTTAACACAATTAAACCCTAAACGGAATCCTATTACCGGTGAGTTTACAGCTTCCTAGAGAGAAAGTTTATCCTTCTCTCTAAAAAAACTCCCAATTTGTTACCCCCTTAGTCGTTTCCTCCGGTTGTCAATTTGAGATTTTTTATGTTTTAATTCATTATTTTTTCACGCTTTTTTTTTCCACCTTTTTCAAACCCAAACTTCCATCGTCCCTTATCTCTTCCCTCTACCTCCCATCCTCATAATTCATCTCCACCCTAACCTTTAATCAGATATACGATTGACGAACCAAAGATGGATGTCAAATTCATTTCTTTCTTTCAATGCCCCTCCCTTGACCGAAATGCCAAATTTTCCTTGGGGCCAAATGTTCTAAGGCTTTTACCTAAGGGTTTTCACATACCCCTTAGCCTCACCCCTTTTCATCTATTATTGTGTTTGTATATCCTTTCAGGGGTTAGTGAAAGTGAATTGGATCCAATGACTATATCTTGGTGCAGTGTTTCTGGTGACATAATCTGGTTGTGTTGTACTTTTGGTTATGCATTTTTAAATTTTATGTTGCAAAGTCTTAGTCTCTATTTGACCACTCGATCATTTTCTTCAGTGTGGCTACCTTGGTGGTTGCTGCTAAAGTCGTTCGTCCCTGGTAGCAGCAGTTGTTTACTGCGCTATGATAAAGATTAGGGTTTTCTTAGTGTTTTGTCTTTTTTCTTATTAGATTGTGCTTTATGTGTATTGGGATTTCCCCAATTTGTTTTGGGTTGTTTTACCTTCCTTTGTGTTTGCCTTGCATAATCTTTCTTTTTCCCTTAATGAATGTTACTTTTCAAAAAATAAAAAATAAAAAAAATAATCTGAGTATATATAGAAATTGTTTGAAGTAAATTGTACAAAGTTTTTATGTATGCATGAAACCTTTTTATATAAAATAAATTTGTTCTGGTTATAAGTTTTGATCTTCAGTGGTGTCAGGACTGTATTTTAACTTTCTCAATATTAAACCTGGTAATTGTGTCATATTTGTCGTGTTCGTGTCATTTTTATGATATACCCGATATCGTAATGGATAGTGTCATGTCAAACTCGTTACAATGAATGGATAATATGACCTGACCCGAACTCGACCCGTTAAAATTAATGGGGTGATATGACCTGATCCATTAAAGAAAAATATATATTACTTCAATAAATAATCAAATGAAAATCGTCATAATAAATTAGCATCTATATACTACGTTGTCACTAAATTAGTGTCTACATATCCTAAACCCTAAAAATTCAAACGATGATGTAACCATCATCAAAGCTTGAAAGATGCGATCATGAATTATCATCATTCTCAACTCCATCTAAAAACAATGTTCACAAGGGTTTGGAGGGTTTTAAAAATCCAACCGATGATGTACTCTTCATCAAAGCGTAGAGTATGCGATCACAAGTGTTTACATATTTGTTTCCCATTTTTCACATTTTTAAAATAATTATTATGATTTTTTTTAAAGGTAATTTAGCCAAAGGTCAATAAAAACTTTACTATTAAGCCATATATCAATGACATATTTTTATTTTGGACTTAATCAATGATATATTTTTATTAACTTGGCTTAGATCAATGATGAATGCCACAAAAGCTTTAAGTCATTATAAAATCCATGGAAACACCAAAATACCCTCCAAAGAAAAAGAAAGGAAGTGTTTGATCGCACTCCGGAGAGAGAGGGAACCCAAAGTTCACAATTAAAGCTCGCAGACTCTCCCTTCTGAACTCTGATCGTACTCCACCGTCGCATCACCGTAGTTCAACTTCCAGAGCTTAGGATTCAAACTTTTTAGGGTTGAGAAACACCGAAATCGAACAATTAGGGCTTTCAGCTTCGAAACTTTTTGGGATTGCGATCACTGCCAAGGTTCGACAGAGGACGATCGATCTCAAGTCAGTAGATTTGGTTATGAAGAACAGCCAAGTTCCAAGTTGAAAACATTTTTAAAAGATTTACAAACATGAAATTACAAGTTAAAGAGAAAGAAATGGTAGGGATAAAGAGGAGGAGCGTGTGTACAGATGAGAGTGGAGAAGGAGTGGAGGGAATCGAGGAATTAAAAGAATTGGCGGCGGCCATTTGGGATTGGGACCATATTAGATGAAGATTTTTTATTTTCTGAGGTTTGTTTGAATTTTAGGAATTTCAGTTCAGTTGGAGGAACAAGAGGAGAGGAAGTTCAAATTTTGAATTTTGAGTGTCGGTTGGGTCGGTAGGCAGACACTTAGCTTCGTATGGGGTTTTGAGGATTTTGTATCAGGATTTCGTTGTCAGACCCTCTCTGTCTCTCTCTCTTTCTCTCTCTCTTAAGTTTTTTTTTTTTTTTTTTTTTTTTTTTTTTTTTAGAAAATTGTAAAAAATGATTGAGGTTCAAATTTCAAATTTTTTGATGGAATTGTCGCAACGCAAGGACTCGATCCTGTGGGCACAGGGAACAGAACTGCAGGCGGCCCCGGCGAAGATCTGTAATTCACCGAACTCAAGACAGGCACCACCTCTCGTCTGCTAGTAGTTATGAATTTTCCTCCAAAGTCTATTTGATCTCAATACACCAAATCATAGAACCCAAGCTAAACTCAGACAACTGCAAACGAAGTTCTGAATCCACATGGAACCGGAATAATCAGATCACTGTGTCTGCAAATGTCTGATAGCGACTACACCAACCTGAGTGGTGTGATCAAAATGCCACAATCGCAGAACCGGAACACAAGCAACGTGCCGGTGTATTGAATCCCACAGAACCCGAACACATGTGAATCCACAAAAACTATTTCTAATCAGAGCAGATGGCACAACTCACACGAAGCCAACTCGCAGACCAATCTCGCAACGCATCAAGTACTGAATCCACTAACTTATTTGAATTCAAATGCACCCAACTCTCACAGAGACACAGGAAACAAACGAGCGTGGCCGAGATTGACCTGCCAGTGGTCTAAAAAATGGAGATTGCAGGGTGGATAGAATCAGGTGGGCGAGTTGACCAGTAATGGAGGTGATGGTCCGCGTGGGAGCGGCGACGGTTGAATTTGAATGGTGGGGGAGGCTCGCGCCAACTATAACGATGTACAATGAAGGAGATGGAGTAGCTCTGGCTTCGTTTGTTACTTTCGGTAATGGCTTACCGTCTCTAATCTCGATCTGCTAATCTTTATAAATTGATATTATCATGTGTTTAAATTGGTCTATCTTATAACGTCTCTGATTGAACCATATTTATGAATTCCATAAAGCACTAATTCGCAGTGTGACTTATTGTTTAATTCACTAAACTTTTTAATGTGATTTATATTGTTACAATACATATCACCACATTTTTATTCGTATCTTTATGGATTTTTCTTACGTCAAAATACCAAAAGCAAACATTAATAAACTAATTTGTAGTCTATCTCTCAGCACTGGGAACTAAATTCAGCAGTATGGAGACCTCACTCGCGCAAACTGCTCTTCTCGCTCCACTCCTTTATGCTTTGATGATGGTAATTGTCGTTTTGCATTTTTAAATCTCCAGGACCTCCGTGAGCCGAATATTTTTCGGAGTTGGCAAGTTCAAACATCAAATAAGAACTTCATTATAACTAATGTACACATGTGAAAGAAATTGAAAAAAACAAAAACACCGTTACATGCTATAAACCCATACCTTTAAAAATAATGTATCTATGGTTTATGCCTACGAAGGTGTGAAATACCGAAATATTCCTATTGTTGGTCTTGAATAATTATGACCTTTGAGTTAATTTCTAATTTACACAGCGAGAGCTTTACTTAAATCCATTAGATTGATTTTTCATGTCTCACTCACAAGCGCATGTCCTGGTGGCGGTCATTGATCTCTGCACCTTTCGAACCGATTGCCTTGCTCGGAGATATCCAACTCAGTCTCTCCTCTCTAATAGAGCTGGCGTTGCCGGACGCGCTCTCTCCCAGCCTTTAAGACCAGTTCTTCTGTTTATGAGTGCGGGCGCTCAGGAAGCAACTCAGTCTGTTTGGCACTCCACAGAGATGCGCTCCATATGTACCCCTCTTCCTGAGCCTATGATATAGATTAGACCCTCCGCCAGAGCTGTCATAACCATCGCACTCCACTCCAACCTCTCCATCGTTCACGTCCAAATCATCTCCTTTTCATATACAATGACATCTCATTGCAGAGTTTGGAGCTCAACGCTCTCTGTTTCGTGGACCCATGGGCCATAAAACAATCCGTAATTCTGGCGTAGCGCCCGGACCACCACCACCACCACCACCACCACCACCACCACTACCAGCAGCAGCGGCGGCGGCCCATCTCTGAACCCAAAGCAGTGGCCTGATCTGCCCGGATCATATGGCTCTCCTAATTGAGAGAGACTTTTAAGGCATGCGTATCCCTACAAAGCATGCAAATTAATCATATATTGACTTTTGCATACCAAAGGGAGATTAATACCATATGGATCTTTAAGTGTCACCCATTAATTTTCAGTTCTTATAATTATTTACTAAATTGGTTAATTATACTTGGTGGTTAAGGTATGTATGATTAATACCATATGGATCTCTAAGTGTCAAATGAAAGGGTAATATTTGGGTCTATAACCATATATAGCCTTTTGTTCAATTCCATTAGTTGGGTAGGTGGTGGTATTTTGAACTTGAAATTCATCGAAAGCTATTGAGCTAAATATTTGTGCTTTTGTTTTTGGTATTTTATGCCTTTATTGTTTGCTCTCATACTCCAAAATTAACGCTATCTATATCATATTTGTTGGCCACGTTGTTGAAGATTAACCTAATAACACAAGGGCATTCCAATTGTACGTGGGATTTAGACAAGTGCATTCCAATTGTACGTGGGACTCTTGTCATAGAAAAATGGTCAGTATGTGATTAGTCACTATATTTACTGAACACATTGTTGAAGACATATCTAAATAACAGAGATGATGTGTTCAACTTGTGTATGCATGTATGCATAACTCATACCGGTTATGTGGTCAATATCTAATCAATTATCTATACCATATTTACTAATCACGTTGTTGACGATTGATGTAATAAACAAAGTTGAATTCTATCTATGTATACGAAACTCTTACTAAATAGGCAATTAGTAGTGTGATCAATAAATGTTGAAGTTGTGTGAAAATGATGTCAAAGTGATGACTTGTACTTAATTCAAGGTCTTGAAGGAAAAGATGAAAAGCAAGAAGACAGTACTTGAACAGAAAGCTGGATGTAATGCAAGCACAGAGGAAGGTTTTAGCTAAATGTGTAGAAAAGTTGACGAACAAGAGTCATATGGGTAGGTCTTGTTGCATGTGGTGGTTGACTGCAAATGTTTTTGATGAAGGATGAATCACTTGAGACAGACTTCCAAATAGCTTTATGATTTTTTTTTTTTGGTAATTTTGCTTTATGATTTATCATTGCACTTGGCAGGTTAAAGCCTGCCTCCTACAGCTACAAGCTCTCCTTACTTGCTTTAATTTTTGTAAAAAAATACTAATAATTCATATCAATGCATAAGTATTGGAAGAGAATGTGTCGTCTGCAAATGCAGGCATAGCTGTTAGAGACCATTGTGTTGATTGTAAGCGAGTGTATGATTTAATATTCGTACAATATATATTTTAAAATTTAAACACATCTAATGACAAAATAATATGATGGTATTGTTCATCATTGCTTAAGTGCGATGAGCTTAAATACCTCGTCGAAGATATAAGTTACTTGTCTACATATACTATTGCGATATGTGATATTTTGTACGAATCACACGACACCATCTAATCGCACTATTGGGCCGCTGAATTTGTGACGCCATATGGAGTATTAGATGTAGATAAGTCTCTTCACAGATTTACAACAATGTCAAATGAATTATAGATTGGAGCCTAAAGGAAGGGAGAGAAAGCCGGCATGGTTTGATTCCATTTGAAACAACACCGTCCACTTTCTATAGGACAGTGAGTCCAATTCCATCAATGAATCTTACTCTGCAAGGACCACCACTAGCACAGTTGATTAGCACTACATTTATTAATTAATTATTTCATAAACAATGATGTATTAGGGCTTGCAATCGCATGATGAATTAACATATAATAATCAATGCATTAAGACTGAAAGCAAAGATCCATATGGGATTGGGAGGGATTATTCTACAAATACAGAATGTTATGAGTGTTAAAGTAAACGAGTCTCGTATTGGTGGTCTATTAGATTTCTCCTTTCATTGATGTTTTCTTCTTTTATTGATGTTAAACTTTTTTATCTTCATATTCTCACACGCTCCTCATGTGTGGCAAATTTTTAAAGCAACCATGTGGCATGAATTGAGTGACATGAAGAATGTGTAACCGTTGGACTTTACACATGAATTAACCTACTCTGATATCATAAAAAAAAAAATTAAGATTCCATAAAAAGCCAAATAGCAATATAAAAAACAGTACAACTTACTTATACTCTTTTAAAGTTTATCTTTCAATCAACTTGAGACTCTTTGTCAGTAGGGAGGGCGTGAAGGTGGGTATTGTGGTTTCGGACTAAAAGAAAATCTTTGGTCTGCCACAGAGAGATCTCTGTCGCACAACAAAAAAGGAAACCCCGATTTTCTATTTGGGATGTACTATCACATATCTTTTTTTACTTCTTACACATCTTTTATGAATTTCTGTATGTTAATCTTCTTCAATTCATTCGATCCAAACGGCCGAAAACAAAAAATGTGTGGGAGAAATAAAAAGGGGTGTGTGGATATCACACCCCTTCTATTTTATAGCAAGCAAGGTTCTAAAATTCGCTAAACGTTAGTCGGACGGCGGGTTAGCGTTTAGTGTCTAGACGGATTTAAGTAAATTTCTTGTAAATAAGTGTATATTGACACTTACAAAAAAAATATATTTGTATGAAATCTAATGATAAGATAATAAAAGAACGATAAAATGCAAAAAAGAGTATCCAACAAATCCAAAATTTAAAAAACATATTAAGCATATATGTCATATAATCATAGTGAGGAGTATTGTAGGATGACACATGTACAACAAGTTCACAATTTAAAACCACATAAAATGCAAAATAGGAGGAAAATAAGGAAATATAGTAATTGTCTTTAACATCCCGGAATTTAAGTTGATACACACCTATTCTATAAAATTAACAAAATTTCAAGATATAAACATAGGTGCATGCAGGGAACGCGAACTTAGAAAGTTAGAATAAAGATAGGAATTTTTTTTTTTCAATTTCAATTTCATAAAAAAAAAAAAGGGCCTAGCTTCGCCTAGGGCCGCCTAGAGCCCATTTGCTTTTTCCCACCGTTTTGCAAGAAGACGCCTTGGCCTCCCTCCGCCCAACGCCTAGACCCTTTTTAAGAACACTAATAGCAAGTGACTCAAAATTTCTTGTTTAAACCATAAACTCTAAAAGTGAATACTATTTAAATTTTCAAAGCAAGTTTGAGTGGAAATTGTTGAGACATGTAGACTGTAGTATATCTTATTTTGTATCGTTGTTGAGAGTATAAATTTTACGTTAAGAAAAGAATGAACATTGCATTTATTTATAAATAATTGGCTATTTTCTATATGTTTTTAATTAATTTTAGGAAGTTTTAACGAAACATTTTGGTACTGTTCACTTTTAATGAAAAACCAAATTTTTACATTTCACTGGTACTATTCACTACACCTTTATTTGTCATTTTTTTATTTATTAAAACTAAAGTTTTTTTTGGA